CCAGCCAAACTGCTACAAAAAATAGCTGGGCATTGTGGCGGGTGCCTGTAGTCCCAGCTATTCAGGAGGCTGAGGCAAAAGAATCACCTAAAGCCCAGGAGGTGGAGGTTGCTGTAAGCTGTGACACATCACTCTACCGAGGGCAATAAAGTAAGACTCTGTGTCTACCAAAAAAAAAAAAAAAAAAATTAAAAAGAATCTTGCTATACATTTTTGGAAAGAAGTTTGGAGAATTCTCAAGGAACTAAAAGTTCCTGCAATTCCTGTACTAGGTATCTACCTAGAAGATCAAAAATCATTTTACAACAAAGACGTATACACCAGAATGTTTATTGCAGACCAAGTCACAATTGCCAAGTCGTAAGCAGCCCAAATGCCCATCAAACCATGAATGGATTAACAGATTGTGGTGATGGTATACCATGGAATACTATGCAGCCATAAAAAGGATGGAGACTTTACAGCTTTTATGTTTACCTGGCTGGAGATGAAACACATTCTTTTTAGTGAAGTATCTCAAGAATGGGGGGAAAAGTATCCAGTGTACTCCATACTATTATGAAACCAATGTATCATCATATACACATCCATATGAATGATAAAACACAACTACAGTACAGAAAGGAGGGGAGATGAGGGAGAGGGGAAAGAAGGGGGAGGGTAGGAGGAGGAAGGGTATTTGGTGGGACCTCACCTATTGTGCATAATGCAATGGTACTTTTCAAAACTACTAAGAATATAGTATTTTTGTATTACCACAACAAATAAGTGAGATAATAGTTATGTTAATCAGTCTGATTTAAGCATTCTACATTGTATATCAAATCAGCATATTGTACCCCATAACTGTACACAGTTACGACTTAATAAAAAAAAAAGAATCTTGCCATAAAAGTTTTCCAAATATGCTGGTTAAAAGTATGTCTCCCATAAAACCACCTTTCCTACTACTGGGTGTCCCAAAAGGTGCAATGCATAGGGAAAATGGGAAATTGTACTTTTAATTCCAAAATGTTTCTTACAAGATTTTACAAAGAGGTGGCCAACATGTAAATAATTATTTTGTAAGGAATATTTTGGAAATAAAAGTATATTTAGCTACAATTTCTTGTTTTCCTCTATGTATGGTGACTTTTGGGACATGCTATGTATCAAAGACAGACTTTCTTTACCTGTGCTCTTTTTTTTTTTCCTTCTTCAGTTTTTGGCCGGGGCTGGGTTTGAACCCTTGCCACCTTTGGTATATGGGGCCAGTGCCCTGCTCCTTGAGCTAGAGGCACCGCCCCTCTTAACCTGTGTTTTTGATCTGTCCCTTTCCTGTTACCACAATTTTGCTCCAAGTTAACCATTCCCTCTTGCTGTTTGGGGTGTGTTTTCTCCACTCCCTTTCTCAAAAACTCTTAGGCTTCTATTCTTACAAGACAGACACCAAGGACTGAATACTAAGGGGAAAACCTCATATATACTATACACATGTAGGACTAGCCTAGCACCAATGTCTACTTCATTGTTAAATTGCTCTTCCATGTCTTCACCCTGGAAACAACTTTTCCTTCTTATCCCTCAAAACCAAATTTCTAAGGACTACCTCTTATTTCCTCATCTCCCATCACCCTAAACTTTGAACATTTGAACTTTATTTTTTATTTTTTTTGAGACAGAGCCTCAAGCTATCCCCCTCGGTAGAGTGCCATGGCATCACGCTCACAGCAACCTCCAACTCCTGGGCTCAAGCGTGTCTCCTGCCTCAGCCTCCCAAGTAGCTGGGACTACAGGCGCCTGCCACAGCGCCTGGCCATTTTTTGCTTGCAGCCATCATTGTTGTTTGGCGGGCCCGGGCTGGGGATTCGAACCCACCACCATAGGTGTATGTGGCTGGTGCCTTAGCCTCTTGAGCCACAGGCGCCGAGCCAACATTTGAACTTTAAATGTTATTACCCTAAAACATTTCGGTGTCCAAATCTTTAACCCATGATCACTCTCCTGATAGTACACAACACATTATCTTTAGGCAGCAATTAAACTGGAGCAATCTACATTCAAATCTTAGCTCTGCCATTAGCTAGTAATAATATGCCCTTGGACGAATTATTTTTAATTTCTTAGAAAATCAAGTTTCCTCATCTGAAAGTGACTCCTAGACGTCTCCCTTTATTTCTTGGTTGCTTCCAAGAGTCTTACATACCCACTACCTGCCAAGTTTCCACCTGACTATTCCACACTTCATTCAAACTCAACCTGTTCAAAAATCAAACACATTTTCTTCTCTGTTAAATATGCTTTTGATGACTTGTGGTAATGGTACCACCACTCTCTCAGCACTTTGAATGCAGAAACAAAAGGCACTTACAAACCTATCAGATGCAAAGGTCCACGGATTCCTTTGGCCCACATCTTATCCTTCCTTTCCATTCCCACTACAGACTAGCTAAGTTCAGGTTTTACTCAACCTTTCCTATCAAGTCTCTGCATCCTATAACACATACTACAAATCAGACAGTTTTTCTTATACTTCCACTGCTTAAAACCTTTTATGTTTACGTGCAGCCTAAAAATGAAATGCAAACACTATAGACAGACACAAAACTTTTCAGACCCCAAACTACTTTCCAGTAGTCTCCAGAGACAAGTTACTGTCCTATTCCCTAAGTACTGTTGCCTTTTGATACTGTTTCCTATACTTGAAATCCTAAAGCTGATACCTTCTCTTCCCATGTCTTCACTTATTCTTCCTGGCCATCCTACACTACAATATAAGGGTCCCACAGGAAGCTGTTCTAACATACATTAAGGCTATTAATAACAGTCTTATGTCCTCTATTACACTATTATGTGATAATTCTAAGTCTTATATCATCTATTAGACTAGACTCCTAGGTGATAGAGACCCTTAGTCCTACAGCATTTAGCACACAGCTGTGCAGACACTCGAAAATTTGTTAAATGAAGGTTAGATAGGGAAGAATCGAGATTATAAAGAACTAATCAATAACATTTCATTAAAGGGGAGAAATAGTTTGAGAAGCACTACAAAACAAGTAGGCATGTGATGAATTTTAAAGTCAGATTAATTTATCCAAAAGTAAGTATGAATTTTGCAGAAGTTGATATTAGCAACGTATACACAGTATAAATGCAATCTGCAGTACATAAAAGACTAGTAATAGAATTGAAATTTATTTAAAAAGGAAAATGAACAATGATTAAGACAATACTCATTTTGCACATTTAAAAAGGTCAAAACACCTCCCCTCTTTTTCAAAGACTCAGTATCTTTCCTAATTTTGTTTTCAAAGTAAGGATTACCGATGGCACTTTTCAGGATTAATAGAAGATACTTTGCTTAATAATGTTCTTGATGTCAACTTCCATAATGCCTAAATCAGAAGTAAATACTTCTGATCTTACAAACACTAAGAATACACTTTGATTTAAAACATTAAAATAGTTTTTCTCTTGGGTGGAAAATGTACTTGAAATCTTTTAACAATTGTACCATTTGTATTAGTTCTCATTCATTCAACACGTATTTGCTAGGGATCTGCTTTGGTGGAGGGGAAGAGGGAAGAACAGAAACTCTCTACACTGATGGAGCCAATATCCCAGTGAATTTTACCTTCAGAAAACAAAGTTAACTCCTAACTCTGAATTACTGGAATTATTATTGCAAATTCTTTGGTGAATGAAAATTAGAAAATACTGTTATTTTGAAAGTAATCACTACTGACTTGTTACAAGACATTGTCCAATACCACGTGCAAGGCAATTAAGCCATTTTATGTATCCATCAGCTGAAGAAAAATCATTTTTAGGATAACCTTTACAGCAATAAATGGTCTCAAGTGCCGTGTTGGAGGCTCCCTTATTATGGCACTGCGAATCAAAAGTTATCGCATGTTAATTCTGTTACACGTAAAACTACAAAATCTCATTTTAAGATGAAGCAAGTGTTTAACGCCGCATCAACACCTCTCCAACTACAATTGATTCTATGTTGGTCCATCTCTCGTATTTGGAAAAGAAGATAATACAACTCAACCCACGACTACATTTCTCATTCTGTAATTGCATTTTAAAATCTCAATGGTCAAGTCCCCTCCTCACAAATCTAATAGCATATATTCTACACTGCAAAAGCAGCACCTGGAATGAGCAGAGATACAACCAGAGAGCTTTAAGGAGCAGCTTTGTTCCCAGTTTGGGAAGGTTTTTCACATGTAAATGTTTCAGAAGAAGGGAGTCGAGGATTAACTACCTCGGAAGAGGGTGTGAGGGTAGCGAAGTGGAGGACACACGGCTTTCTAGCGGACCAAGGCAAAGCAGATACTCTTCTCTCCCATTCAACGTTTTAGGTGTCACGCTGGGGGCATACAGCGGATAAGGCAGTTATGTTCACGACTCGAAATGATATGGAGTTATAACCCCATTTCTCAAGTGCGTGATACCCGGAGAAGGGGGATAAACACCCTCTCAACTCCTCCCGGACTCGGGATCAGAGTCCAGACGTCCACGCACCGAGGCCTGAGCAACAGGAGAACCGAAGCCACCGCTCCGCCTGCCCCATGGCCGGCAGATGCTCCCGCTCCCCCGCCCCCAACCCTACACGCCCGCCCGCGCTTCTTTCTTAGCCCACTGCGGGCTCCCGGCACTGCGAAGCTGATAACGGGGCGAAAAGCGGAGAGCGAGAGTGCTCGGACTCCAAAAGGGGCGAAGTTACAAGGACCTGAGCCAACGCGGGCTGGGGGAGGCCACAAGGGGGTGGGGGGGGCAGCCTAAGGTCGCCACCCAGGGGTGGGCGGTGGGGGAGGGGTGTGGGTCAGTTCCCGTGGTCGCTGCGACCTCTCCCGGGCCACAGGCCGCTCCGCACAGGCCCCGCCAGCCCGGAACCGGGGCAGGAAGCGTCCCCACCCCGACCAAAGCTTTAAACCTCCGGCGGCGGGAGAAACGGGCGCCGGCTCTCGGAGTAGGCCCGGCACCCCCTTGCCCCGAGCACCCCTCACCTCCTGGTTGAAGGCGTTGACGGCGTCCATGTTCGCGCTGCGGCGGCGGCGGCGGCACCGGGCCCGCTGGTCACATAGACCTCGCGCCGCGGCGGAGCGGGGCCGGGGAACCGACTGGGCCTGGCAGCGGGGGGAGGCGACGAGAAGCGGAGCCTGAGGCTGGACGGGAAGAGGCTGCGGCCGACGCGGCGAGGCAGAGGCGGACGGGTGGCGGGCCCCTTCTCAGTCCCGTTTGCAGGGTGAGGAAAAAGAGGCGGCGGCGGCGCTGGGCTCCAACATGTCCGTTTGGTGGTGGCGGCTGCGCTCTGAGTCTCGCTGACACGGCTCCCAGCGCCCTCACGCACTAGCCCACACTGGCCCGGCCGGCGAGCGGGCGGGCCTCTCTCTCCCTCTCGCCAGCGGGATGGCGGCAGCGGCCCGACTCCACGCCGCGCGGGGCACCCTGGGACAGCTCGGGCCTCCCGGCGCTTCCTGTGCCCGGCTCCCGCCCCGCCCCGCCCGCGCTGGTCCCGCCCCGCCCCGCCCCGTGCGCTGCGCGCCCTGCTGCCGGCGCGTGATGACGGGATGTCGGGCGGCTTCCCGCCGGTGGCGGCTGCCGCGGGCTCGGGGAATTGTCCGGCGCAGAGGCTGGGCCCGGGTGAAGAATGTCGCGGAGCGCGGGTTTCCAAGGCCGCCAGGGTGGCCCGGACTCGTGTGCTCCCTCGCCCGACGCGACGCTCCTCGGGTGCGTTTCTGTCTTCGGTTCTGCTCGAGTAGGCCCTACAGCTGGCCAGGGCCAGCGGGCAGGCACTGAGCCCTCGTTCTTGGCTGCCTCGAACAAAGGGCACAGGACTTAACCTCAGCCCTCTGGGCGTGCATTTGAAAAAAGCTTCTGCCGATGCAACCGTGTGTCTGCTCCAATTGTGCGGGTTGATTCTGCGCGAGCTAAAACACCTAGGAGGACGTGTAGGCGCTGGAAATCCACTTGCGCCTTGTGCCATGGGAGGTGGGGATTCGCCAAACTTTTACGTTGATTGCCCGAACAGAGTTGTTTCTTTTTTGCTGGAAACACCTTTCCTGATCACTTTCTTGGGAAACATACTGTCTGCCTAGTGTTGGGCACATAGAAATAAAAAAGTTGTTCTGTTTGCAGACACCTCGATTTGGTGGGGGAGGACGGCAAGTAAGCAGATAATTATCAGAGTATGCTAAGTGTTAGGGTAGAGGTCCAAGGAAACAAAGAAACTCATCGGAGTAGAAGTCCAGGAAGGCTTCCTAGGGGAAGTGGCACTGGTGCTACATCGTGCTACATCGTGGAGAAGTAGTAGGGGAAGAGAGGCCTACTGACCTTTTTAAGTACTTCATCAGCTCCCCCCTAAAAGGAGGACCAGCCAAGGAATAAGGTGGAATGAGAGAGAGACTGAGCCAAGTCTTGAAGAACCTTTGTCCTTTCAAAGAATTTGGAATTTTGTCCCCAAGACAGTGGGAAGCCATGGAAAGATTGCAAGAAGAGGGTGGAGTCATGCAGTGTGCTGTTAGTAAGAGTAGGATCACAGAAAGAATGGCTTTAGTACCTAGGGATGATGAGAGCTGAAAGTGATGGCAGTGGAGGAGAGACACAGGTGGATAGTTAGGAAGTGGAATACACAGGCAGCAACAGAATGACTGAGTTTGAGAAAGGCTTCATGAAGGATGCTCAGGGTCTGGCTTGATGCATAGCACGGGTGGTGGGTTTATGGGGAAGGAGTGGGTTTGAAGGGAGACAGAATGATAGTTAACACTTGTAGATAGTGTATCTACCATGTGGCAGGGTCTACCTGACATGTTATTAGTCTGTGCAATTTCATTTAATAACAGGCTTTTGTGTGAGGTGGCTATTAACAATGCCATTATTTTACAGTTAAAGGAGTGAGCTAACTAATGTGCCCAAGGTCACAAGGCTGAATGATTTCCTTCTGGGGCCTGTGGAGTTTCAGCTGCCCCTGGGACGAATAAGTGAAAATGTCTAGGAGGCAGTTGGGTAAACACATGTGGAGTCAGGAGAGATGGCTGAGAGAAGCTAGAGATCTGGGAGTCATTAGTACACAGCTAGTGGTGGAAGGAACTGAGATAGCCAGGGAAAGAGACCAAGAATGCAGGTATGTTGAGGAAAAGAAAAGGTAAAGGAAAAAGCTCTAGAGAAGTGGCCAGTCCTGTCTATTGCTGAATAAAACTAGAAGTCCAGCAAGATAAGAATTGGAAAGTGCCTGATGGATTTAGCATCAGTGGCTGGAGTGGAGAGGGCAGAAGGCAGATAGATGTGCATGGGAGAGGGTGAGACAGGCAGGAGAAATTTTGCAGAACCTTGTCCATGAAACCAAGTTGTGAGGATGCCAGGAAAAACCTGCAGGAGAAAGGAGAGTGTTTGCTTGTTTCTTTTAAGATGAGCGAAAAGCGCTTTTAATTATTTGTTGAAGGAACAAACAGATTCCACATCTTAATTTTGGGATCAAAATTAAATGATCTACTTCATCGTCACTTCATCTTACTACCTTTCCATCTCTCTGAACTACCAATATATTTTCCAAATCCATTTTTCTTCTCTGAGAGCTGCTATCCACAAGGCCACCACGATTACATTAGAAAGTTCAGTTAGTAGACACCTTGGCATTTCTAGATATCCATTGTCTGCTGAATATTGCTCAAGATCTTCACACCATGTTTCCAGCCTACTGCCACTGCACAACCCAAGTTTTGTCATTTCTTTTACACATCTGAGAATTGACAGGCCTGGGCCTATGTTCTTATGGAAAACCCTTTGCTTCTCCGTGTAGGTGGGCCCATTTAGCATCTCATTGATGTTTGGAAGTTGCTTCCTTTAATTCATTAATTATGTTTTCAATATGTACTTTGTGCCAGGCATTGTGCTGAAAGCTCCTCACTCTCATCCTAGGCAATCTTAACATCTTCCCCCCCATGTGGTTTCAAGAGGCCACTATAGCCCTTCTTACCTTGTATTGCTGATACATGAAAAAAGGTCTGCATTATTACTCTGACATAATGTGCCCCTGCCCTGCATCTACCTGTTTGAGGACAGTGGCAGCACACCTATGATTTATCCTATAAGGGTACATATGAATCTTTCTAAATGTGGAATATAAATGTCTTAACTATGAGAATGACATGAAGGCTATGTTAACCAATTGGATGAAAGTATTTCAAATTGTATATAGAAACAACACTCTGTACCCCATGATAGTATTAATGTGCACAACTATGATTTAATAAAAAAAAATGTGCCCATAAAGCTGAATGGGATCTCCCTCCCCCAATTACCTTTCCTGTTGTGAATTAGGGGAATAAATGGATTTGGCTAAGGAAGGGTAAAATCTTGAGGTGGGGTTGGAAAGAGCTTGGGAAGAAGATAGAGTTTGGCTTGGGATGTGTTAGCCTTTGAGACTTATACACTGTAGTTGTTGGGCTCTGGTGTAATGGTTGTTGAATGAGGGAAAGACAGTCCAGTAGGGGATATTTTCTGTGTAACATCCTATGTAGATTTGAATGCTTAAGAAACTTTGGCTTTTAAGATCCATGTGTTTGAGGTAGATAACAGAAGCTTCTTTTCTGGGTAGAGTTGTTTGGTTTTTATGCTAATGGTGTTTGAAGGTCTTTCAACAAGTTGTTGGTACATAAGTGTTATCACCTAGGTTTTGGGTACCTTGGCAGCATTTTCTTGCATTTTTCCATTCTGAAGACAGCAGCACTTCTATCTGCTCTGGGACATTTGGCATTCACTTGCACAACTACTGCTGGACTTCCATCTCTGTCTCTCCAGTCAGACAAGTCAAATCTTCCAATAGGAATTTTTTGGCAAATGACAAAAACTCATGAGGGTTGTCCTTTGTGAGCAGAACTCGAAGCAGTAGGAATGCAGCCTACTGAGAAGATAGCCAGAGGATCATAAATAAACGTGACTGATAAAAGTCAGCAAGACGGCTCAGTGCCTGTGGCTCAAGTGGCTAAGGCGCCAGCCACACACACCTAAGGTGGTGAGTTCAAATCCAGCCTGGGCTGCCAAACAATGACGGCTGAAACAGCCAGGCTTTGTGTTGGGCGCTGATGGTCTCAGCTACTTGGGAGGCGGAGGCAGGAGACTCGCTTGAGCCCAGGAGTTGGAGGTTGCTGTGAGCTGCGATGTCATGCACTCTACCCAGGGGGATAGCTTGAGGCTCTGACTCCAAAAAAAAAAAAGTCAGCAAGACATTTTATCCATTTACAAACTTGCCTTTTTTCACACAACACATTTTAAGCAGAATCGTTTAATCATAATGTGGGTGTGAAAATAGTGCTGAAAAGCCTTTCTACACAAACTCAACCAACTCATGTTTTTAAAAATAATAGAGGAAATCCGTATTTAGAGGAAGGAAAAAATGACATTTGGGAATTAATATTCTGGTTAATTCTGTGTATGTCACATGTCAACTCCTTTTCTTGAAAGGAACACTGGCCACAATCCACAGGAATGGAGAATACGGAGAGAAAGCATATTCTAAGCTCCTAAAGAAGCCCAAGAAACATAAATAAGGAATTCAAGAGCAAATGGGTTGCTTCCCCTGCCTTATCCCTATACTTTCTGGAGTAAGTATAAACTGATTCTGTTGGATGAAACTTTTTTCTCCTTGGTTTGCTTTTCTTTTCTGGACAAATTTCATCTGAGGCTTTCCCTGCCACCTCTGTGATGCCTTTCTCTCCTCATTTAGGGATCTGACTGAACTACCCTGGTTTAGAACTGCATTTCCAGCTGCCCACTGGAAAATTCCACATAAACATCCCCTCCATCCCCAAGGGACCCACCTGACTCCTTTTCATGCCACCCTCTGTCTTCATGCCCTTTATGCTATTGGTGCCAAAACAGTGGAAAAGACTAAAGAAAACAGGAACTCCAAGAAGGAAGCGCTCAGTGGCAGTTGGATGATGGGATTTTAGGGAATTTCTGTTTTCAGAATTTAATTTTTCATCATTTTCTAGCCTCCCCTATAGGAAGCATGTGTTACTTTTATAATCAGAAAGAGTAAGCGTCTTTAAAAAACAGGAATCATACAGGTAAGTATGCAGAAAACCTAAAATGTTCTAGATTTCTAATCAGATGTGATTGTAACAATGAGCATATGAGTAACTAATATAGGAAAAGAGTTTTTTTTTTTTTTTTTTCCCTCTTGGCCATTTTTTATGTTATTTAAGAATAGGGATCCAAGGTTTTCCAAAGTTGAAAACATTAAAATCAAGTCTCATCTGCAGTGAAAAGTCACTTTTCCGGACTGAGTCATACTGACATTTGTCCTTTCGTTGATTCACAGAATAAATATACACATGTACTGTAGTGTTTAGGATAACACAGGAAGCAAAAACAGATAGGTCTTTCCTCAGGGAACTACCTCTCTAGAGCCCAAACATTTCCCTGATGTTGAGGATTTTTTATGTGTCTA